AAGGATGGCACAGGATAGGGCGAAGTTCTGATCTGCTGTTTATTATGAATCAGTTGACTCAGCGGAACCTAATAACAACAGTATCGATGAGTGTTTCATGATGTGAAAGGCACATTCATCTACATTAGTTAATTCTGTCACCACAATAACCCTTAAGAGATGGGCAGGCATTTTGCAAATGAGAAAATTATTTCCTAAGGGGGAAGGAACAAGTTCAAGGTCATGGCTGTAGACTGCAAAGCTCAGCTGGCCCCTCCTCTGGGCCCTCTCCCTTAACATGGGACCTCCCACTACCCCTCCATTACAGTGACCCCATGTGAGCTGGGCCCTTTAAGAACCTTCTGCCTGAAACTCAGGAGGGAGTGGCCCCTAAGCTGAAGCCCCTGGCCAAGCTGCATTCTCTGGGGGGAAGCTAGTAGCCACCTGGCATTTTCCCTTTGATACTGATACAGGCATTTTAATAGCGGTGATGGTCAGGCGGGTGATGTTTCAGTGCTGGCCACTCAAGCATTCCAGGAGGCCCTACTGCCACTGGGGGGCCAACCAGAAAGCTACTCTGCTGGGGGGCTGGGGGTCCTTCTGAAAGCCTTAGCCTGAGGGTAGACTTCCCACTGGGGTCTCATACTACGATTCCTTAGGGGCCAGTGAGAGAATCTGGCCAGGGAAGGGTGCTGTGGGAGGCCTGGTCATCTGAAAGGAGCTGTCATCCTTTGTATCATCTGCTTGTCACCATGAGAAATGGCCCAGGTTGTTAGATCATTCCAGTGTGCAAGAGAAACCAGGAACCCTAAACTTGAAGTGAAATCTGATTTGTAAAGTATTATTGAGCCCCTGGAGTCACAGCAGCAAATGAAATAAACCACATGATTCACGTCCGCATGGCTGTATGCCCATTCTGTGATGGAGGTGGTAAGTGACAAAGCCAAAATAAAAATAAACCCCAGAAGTCCTAAGGAGGAAAATAAAGCAGGAAGAGGGGAGAAGGAGCAGCTTATTGGAAGATGGGGGTGCAAGAGGAAGGACACCCCAGGTAGCTGGCAGCAAAAAGAGCCTCCAGGCTAAGGAAGTAGTAAATGCAAAGGCCCTGAGGTAGGAGAGCACCTGACACGTGTAGGAGCGTGCAGACGGCCTGTGATGGACAGTGCATGTGAAGGGAATAGTAGCTGAAGTCAAAGGAGGCAAAGAGGCGAAGCAGGCAAGGCCTTGGATGCCACTATGAAGTTGGCTTGTACTCTGAGCAGGATTCCAGGCTTTTGAATGCAGGAGTGAAGGGATCTGCTTTAATAACAGCCACGTGGCTGCTATACTGTGAATGGTCTGTCTTGTGGCATGGGCAGAAGCAGAGGCATTTATTAGGGGGTTATCAGAGTCATGGGCCTGAAATAATGTGACTTGGACCAGGGTGGTCGTGGTAGAAGCAAGGGGAAACTCTGGTGTGTCTGGAAGGCAGAGAACAGGAGTTGCTGGCTGATGAGGGAAGAGAGAAAGTGAGGTGTCAATGATGATTTCATACTTTTAAAAAATTAAATGCTGAGCACCTCAAGAAAACACTCATTAAATGTCAATTTCTCCAGTGTCTTATTTCTGTGACTCTGATGACTTCAGCATTCAGATGCTTCAGTTTCCTTCCAATGCTCCTGGCTCCTGGGTTGGTTGTTCTAGTCCAGGCAGCTCTCCTGAGCTCCCGGTTTCCACATGCCTGTCAGGTACCTCCATCAGGGAGACCCCCAGGCTCCTCAAACCCCCTTATCCCAACAAACCTCGTCATCTCCATGATAAGCCTGATCTTGTCTCAAGAGCAGCATCTCTGCAGAGTTTGGCTGCTGCCCTGACCTCTTTATCCCCTATCCCAGGTCCTGCTCCTTTACATGTCTTTTCCCTTCACCTGCTTCACTCCATCATTGATGTTGTTATGACATGTGGTCACATCGACTCTGAGTCATGATAACTCCATGTGCCACAGAATGGGTGATGTTGCCCAGTCCTGGACCTTTTTCATGGTCGATGGCATGTTTGAGTCCATTGTTGTGGTCATTATGTAGCACCTGACAACTTAGGGCACTTGTCATCCAGTATCATTTAAAACCATGTTCCATTGAGTAAGGTTTTCACAGCCTCATTTATGAAAGCAGATCCCCAGACTTTCTTCTTAGTTTGGAAGCTCCCTTGAAATTGATCCCCCATGGGTGATTGTTGATAGTGGTTGAAATTACCAGTAGCACCATTTCTAATCATTGGATGATGGACTGACAGACAGGTGGTGGTCTGCCCATCACACTGCTCCGCTTGTGGTCCAGACCACCAGCATCCCCCAACTAGACAGGTGATCGCAGCAGCCCCAGGGTGGAAGCCTGGTCTTCACCCTTCTCTACCTCTGCTTGCCTCACTCCTGCGGCTGTGTCTTGTTCTCCATCTGTCACAGTCTTTCAATTAGTAGGAGCTCAATCAGTGTTGGATTGTTCGATTGATTGATTGAAATAATTGAATGCAAATTGAAGGCCCTGGACTTTAAGCACTCAGTGGCTTGCTTCCTTGGGGCAATCAATTCTCATTCTCTCTCTGGATTTCAATCTCTGATTGTAAAATGGAACTGATTTCTATCCTACTTGTTGCACAGGGCAAGATGAAGGCTCAGAAAATGTGAAAATCCCTTTCCCTGTTTCGGGTCAAGGGCAGGTTTTGTAGGCAGGTTTATGGGGCCAACAATAGACGGAGTGGAACAGAATTGGACAGAGGGAGAAGTTAAATGAAGATGTATTCACAGCAGAAGCCTCAGCCATGCTGTGGGAAGCTCTGGAGCCATGCTGGCCTTTCACACTTACCTCAAATTGACAGGAGTCTTTATACTCTAACATCTGTAGTGAACTGCCCCAGCAGCAAGTTGGTTGAGAGTTCCCTCTGGCTGAGAGCAGTTTCAATAGAAGGTCATGACCATCAGCTGCTGATACTTGCAATAGCTAAGAAGTGAACACATTGACCCTGGAAGGGAGATCTGGACAGCACACCAGAGGATCCTTTACAGCCTGCAGGGTTGTGTGCTGGAACCCTGGGGCATCTGTGACAGGTTCCTGACATGGGTGGCTGGCTCCCTGAGGCATCTCCAGGGCTCTGGGGTTGAGTAGATGATATTTTATGGGATCCACGGGGGGCTCTGGGACTGCCCCACAGCATCTCCCAGGGCCCCATGGTTGGGTGGATGACATTCCAGGGACCGTTACCAACTCTGGAGCTGTGTGACTGTGACTAAAACAAAAACTCAACCCACTCTTGTTGAGTCTGACCAACAAGTAGCTGACACTCCTATGAATTTTCAAAGGCTATAAATCGCACAGGAGGAGATTGCCCTTCTTTCTCCTGCAGAGCAGCTGGGGGATTTGAAGCTGCAGAGGCTCAACCTTTGGTTAGCAGTGCAATTCTCTATGCCATCAAAGCTCCCTATGGCTGTGAATAAACAGTGCAAATACTAGGCTTCTGAGCCATTAGAAATTCCTCATGATATCAATCCCTAAGACTCAGGGCATATGTTTCTCTTGTGAGCTTCCTTGAGGGGCGAAATATATTAGCTGTGAGGAAGCATGTTTGAGAGAGGTGTTGAGAGTGGCCAAGTTGTCAGCCTGAGAACTCAGGCACCTCATCTGACCACCACCAGCCAGACCAAGGCCCACGGGGGCAGGCCCTCTAGTTTGTCAAGAGAAGTTAGAAATGCAGATATGTGTGTGAATCCACCTGCTTTAAATGATGTTAAAACTTTAATGAAAAAACTCACTGTGGAAACCAAAGAAGACTTAGCTATGGGTCAGTTTGGTCCTGGGCTCTTAACTGCTGTCCTCATATCAGAGTATGACTCTGAGTCCAGCTCTGTCCCTCACTCCCTGAACTGGGCCAGGGTACAGTCTCTTCTCAGTGCTCCAATGTCAGAACCTGTGAAGTGAGTGTAATAGTAATAACATTTCTTGAGCATTTCTTGGGTTTCAGCTCCCAGTCTTTCTAGGCACCCAGCTTTTCAGGACCCTCTGAGTCACACTGGGAGACCAGCCCAGTTAACAGGCCGGGTTAGAGAACTAACTGAAGTAACCTAGACCTTGTGTAGACTTGTTGAACTCTGTGCTCATCCGACCCATCAGACACCATCCTCTCAAGGATGAAGTGAGAGAGAGTCTTTGTATAAAGCACTTAACACACTTGTCTCTGCAGATGCTGGTATTTGTGTTTTCTGCCCGGTGTGACCCATTTATAAGTATTTGCCCATTCACCACCATGATAACGACAACTTTATTAAAAAATATTTTCTTTTATATTGATTTGCATACAAAATTCATATCCATTGTTTGTCATTCACGTACACTGTGCTTCACACATTCCTTCATTCACACTGTGTTTTACACAATCATTCATGTGGCAACCTTTTGAGGCTTAAGAGGTGTCTTACTTAGCTTGCTGCTGCCTCCTTGTTGCTTCTTGGACTGGCTCAGGGCTGTTCAAGCTGAGGAGGGAGAGGTTTGGTGGCATTTGGTGGCAGGGTACAGAGGACTTTCCCAGCCCCCACGTCCCACTCCTCCCAGTAGAATGGGAGGGGACAGGGGAGAGCCCACAGCAGGGTAGGACGTCTGGCTCTGTGAGGGACACCAGAAGAGACACTGCCCCTGCCCTAGGATCCACTGAGACTGGAAGCAATTAGCAGACAGCAGGGAAAAGCAAGTCATCTTGGGCCTGAAGAGGGTGTAGGGAGGCCATAACAGGTTTATAGGCTCAGTGATTGGGGTGGGTTTCTTTAAAGACCACAGGCTCTGAGATGCACATTCTGTCTGCTTCTTATTACCTCGACTTGGTGGCCAGTTGAAGGCCATTGACTGCTTGCCTTTGATCCAGGAGAATCCTCCTGCTGATGCCCCCCTCCTCCACCGCCCACCCCAGACCCTGTGTGGCCTCTTCCCCGGGGCCCTCCCCCTTGGCTTGGTTTACAGCTCTCCCTGACAGCTCCTCTCTGTCTTCTCGTACAGAAATGGAAGTTCCACTCGCGGCAGCGCCGGGAGGCCCTGAACACGCCTACGGGATGTAACTGCCCACCAGGTAAGAGGCCCTGCAGGTTTTGAAGCGGAAGCATTCCTGGGAGGAGACCCCACCACAGGGACACCTCAGAGAGGTGATCAGGCCACAACCCTGAACAGGGCGTAATCTTTCATTTGAAATATGGTGATGATAATATTGATGCTGTTTACCTTCCATCTACTCACCGATTGACAATCCATCCATCCATCCATCCATCCATTAATTATTCTATCCCCATACCTCTCCATTCGTTCATCCCCTTTCATCCCTTCCTTTTTTCCATTCTTCTCCCCTTCCCTCCATCCATCTGCCCCTTCATCCATTTATCAACTCTGCTATCTATCTATCTATCTATCTATCTATCTATCCATCCATCGGTCCATCTGTCATCTATCTTTCATCTATCTATCATCCACCCATCCATCCATCATTCATCTCTTCTACCAGCCTGATCCTGTGTGCATATCAGATGACAGCTATGGGTATATCCTGCACAGTGTGCAGAGTCAAAGGGGAGATAGGGCAAGGACCTTGTTTATCACACCCACTATTGCATCTTCAGCCCTGCCTTCTCAGAGCAGGCTTTCAAAAGTGTCTCTTGATGAATTATTCCATCAGTAAGATCGGTTTGTGTCCCAGCTGGATAATTCCGGATTGTGAATGTGCACTGCACCATATCTAGGGCAAACACACATGAACACACAAAGCACACAGGAATAAAGGAATCTGAAGCTAAAGGCTGAGGACGACGACGTGGTGTAATAACGTCTCCAGTCTGCATTCAGGTCCTGCTTTTGCTGTTGATAAGCCCTGTAATGGGCAGATCACTTAGCAAGGATGTCTGTCCTGTTGCTCTCTGCTCTCTATCATACTCCCACTACCTCCACTGTGGCTATTCTACTGTGTAATAGATGTGTTCTGAGTACATGCCCAGTGCTGGACACCATGCCGGAGGTACACTTTAATTGTACTGTACACCGTTCATAACATTAATAAGCTACTGGACTCCTTACCATTGATATTAAGCTAAAAGAATTATAGATGAGTGTCACTGTTTCCTAGAACAGCAAGAATTGTATGAGAAGGAATCTATGAAAGAAAAAAAAAGATTAAGGGTCAGATAGTGAAACTGTAGTCTGTTCTACTACAATAGTGGACACCTGACATGCACTGATCAAACCCCAGGGGACTGTACAACACAAAGAGTGAGCTCCAACATGAGCTCTGGACTTTTAGATTCATATATTGTGTTGGTGTTTATTCGTCAATTGTAATGAAAATTTGAATGCAAAACGTTAATAGAAATGTTGTGCAGGAAGAGAAAGGTAGGTGGGAACTGGCTATGGTCTTTGCACAATTTCTCTGTAGCCTTTAAAAACACCGAGCCATCAAGATTGCCCATTGAAGTAAATGCCAAGGGTTTTGCCCTGCTCTGAGTCTGTGTTGCCAAGAGTGAGGTCCCCTTGATTGCAGCTGAGTAGCCGTTGGAATAAAGAGACCCTGGTCAACCTCACCCCAGTGCCCAAGTCAGGAAGAGACAGATGTTCAGCATATGGATGGAGGATGGAGGGACCATATTCCACCAGCGAGTGAATGGGCCGAGGAGGGAGTCACAGTTCAGGGATGAGGCCCTGGGACAGGCTGAGGCCCTGAAGGAATCCAGCCAATCTCTCTTCCAGAAGGTCATGTAGGTTAATTAAAAAGGTGTCCAAAAACCCTGGGAAGCTCCCTCCTCCCTCTGGGCCTGGGACAGGGGCTCTGAGACCTGGGAAAGCTTTCTGGAGAGGACCACCAGGATTAATGAGATGAGATGTGATGAGATGAAGTTGAGGGTGGGTGGGGGCTGGGGCAGAGTGACCATGTGCTTCAGTTCCTGGGACCATAATTGTGCTCATTACCCTCTGGCTGTAATAGGTTCCCACTCAAGTGTAGGAGGTTGGTAAGAGCAGGAGATTTGGAGGCATGGAAGGTGTAGATCTGAGCCCTACCTCTTTCCCTACCTTCAAGATGTCTCAATTACCCTTTCTATGTCTCAGAGAACTCTGGTGGTATTGTCCTTAAAGAGCTGGGATGTTAACCCAAAGGCGGGACCTTTCTCATAGTTTGAATCAACCAGTGAGTGGTGCAATCCCCTTCCGTGGATTTACAGCCTTGGGGAATCTCCAGAAGGGTCAGCTAAGAATTAGTTCCTCGTACATGGCAAGTTGGTCTGCATGCTTCTGTTGTTTGGTCTGGAAAACGGGGATGCTACACACACTCAGAAACTCCAATTTTGCCTGATTCTTAGCAAGTGTTACTATTATTGTTGTTTTTTTCCTCAACTACCTCTTTGCCTGAAAGTCAATAGCAAACATCACTTCCTGGTGTTAAGGGCAGCATGGCCTCAAAAGGCAAGAGGCTTGCACATTCCATCCTTGTCTGACTTGGGAGCCACAACAGCTGCCTGATGTCCTTGTCCCTCTGGCCACAGAGAGGACACCTGACAAACATCTCAATGCTGTGCTTCAGAAAGTCAGGCCCAGGTGGTCCTGGGAAGTCTGAGAGTCAGGTGGCAGGAGGGAAGGTAGGATTTGACAAAAGGCTTCCTGTCCTCACTTCTGGGCCCTGGGGTGGGGCCCAGCAGAAGGTGAGGAGAGTGATGTGAAGAGCATGAAATGTCCAGCAGTGGAAGGAGGGAGACTGAGACGAGAACAGGCTCAAAGCAGGTCTTCTGTGGGGGATGGGGAAAGAAGAAGCCATTGGGACAAGGCGGCCAGCCAAGCAGAGGACAGAGTGCAGAGGCTCTGGGGATGACTGCCTCACGGCTGCCTCACAGTGTAAAGGAAGTTTCTGGAGAGCACCATGACCTAATGCATAGGTCAGAAGAGTTGTCACCCTTCTTATTAGTTGTAAATTGTAATCCTTGTAATTAATTGGAAAACTGATTGAGATCAAGTTGGAACCAACTCGTGACCCTCCTTTAGATTGTCTGGGCTTGTAAACTGCATGACAGGAGATTCCCCATCTTTCTCCTGTGGAGCTGCTGGTGGATTTGAACTGAGAGGTGTCACTTTTGGGTCAGCAGCATATCTCCTCCCTGTGGACTACACCACCAGAGTGCTCCGGGTTGCTGCTGCTGCTACTGTTATTGTTGGGTACCATCGAGTTGAGTATGATTCATAGGGACCCTATGAACAAAAGTTCTGAACCCAGTCCTGTCCTGCGCCATCCTCACACTTCCTGACACACAAGAGCCCATTGCAGTAGTCACCATGTCAATCCACTGGTTGAGGATCTTCCTCTCCTACGCAACCCAACGGATATGTCTTGGAGAGGGTGCAACCAGAGAGCTCTTTGGAGACAAGAATGATGAGGCTTCGCCTCACATACTTTGGGCATATTGCTAGGAGGCGCTATTCCTTGATGTTGGGAAGAGTGGAGGGTTGCTGTTGAGTTAACTCTAATTCATAGTGGCCCTGTTAATTAAAAATAGAATGTCCCAGAATGTCTTCAAGGCTGTGGCCTCTCTGAAGACGATCACCACACCTTTCTTCCGTGGTATCCTGAACGAATTTGAACTGCCAGCCTTTCAATCAGCAGTCTAGCACTTAACCATCTAGGGACTATGAATCAGGGGATAACACCAAATAATATAAAGAGATGGCCTCAAAGTGGAGCAGGAAGGATAAGGGGCCAGAAATGTTGTCTCAGCTCTTTGGAGAGACAGACAGAGCATAGAGGGATCTCAGAGCATGGAATCCTGGAATAACTATGTGTCCCAGATGGATGAAGCCTGCTAGACTCCAGGGTGTGCCTCACTGTGCCCAAACTGTGGCTTCTCACCTGTAGTGAAATGTATTCCTGTGGAGGAAAGACAAAGTGCACCTGGCACATAGTGGCTCAGTCAAGAGGCAGCTATCTTTAGCAATTATTGTCACTGCCCACTGACTAAGCCACTGTAAGTGCCAGGTGCAGTACTAAACACTCTATGTCAATTAGTGGCCTTCTCAGAACACTGACCATAAACAGAGTGGAGAGCTGACCTTCTGAAATGTTTGCAGAGCCAAGATTCTTAACGAAGACACCTCTTTCATTCCTGCACCTAAATCCTGCATCTCTGTTTATTTTCTTGGGGGCAGAGTTTATAAACTACTTTATGAACAGCTTTAATCCCCCAGGTACTTGTGGAGGGAAGCAGACCTTGGCAAAGGACTGCATTATTCATTTTTGTCATATCAGCAGCCCCTAACATGGTGCTTGCACATAGTAGATGCTCAATAAATTCCTATCAGCCATCATACGGTTGGGTTCTTTCTCCTGTTCCCTGTCTACTAGCCAGTTGGTTTCTCGCCACCTCCCACCACCCTGAGTCTTGTCGGATGCTCAACTTGCCACTGTTGGAACACAACAAATAAACACACACTCTTCCTGCCCACTGTGGCCGGCTGGGATCGGAGCCGAGAGCCCCAGCCTCATGCCTGCCCCCAGCTCGCCTCTGTGGCCAGTTGGGCTGAGGCTGCAGTTACTTCTGCGGTGGGTGTGTTCTTCCTCGTGGCAGCCTGGGGCCCCTGGGAGGCACCCAAAGGCCTTGAGACACATAATAATCTTGGGAAGAAACCTACCTCCTTCCCTTCCTCTGTTGGCTATCGCCAGGATCCTCCCAGGATCCTCCCTGCTCCAAAATAGTCATCCCCTGGCTGAGGTCTGGCTACATCCTGCTTCTTGGCTCTGCACCGTTTGCTGGTGGAGCAATGGGCCTGCAGGTCTCGAGTTGAGTGGCGAAGGTCAAGTCTCATCAGATGCTACAATAGCCAGAAGTTCAGAGTAGGTGTGGACCCTTCGCAGAGTCTAAGGACTGCGGAGACTGAGAAGGGCCTTGGGAACCTATATGCTGGGGACCTCCCAGGCCACTTGAAAAGAATACAAAGATCAGGGAAATTCTCCCATGTTCTGTCCCTGTCTTATTAAGAAATGAGGAGCCAAACTATATAGGCTCCAGACGGCGAGGAAATAGCTACTTCAGGTCAGCCACGCTAGGGCTG